GGAGGAGAAACAGCCTGGCTGTTGGTTAATGATTCTGATGCGAGTGTCATAGATTGGAGGATTTATGGCTCAGCTCACTGGTGGGTGTGAAGGAGTTAAGATGGAAACATAATAGCAGTTATGAAATTTATACTAATACTGGAAATGCTAGTGATACAATAATGTGCTATGGAAGTGGAATATCTCCTAGAGCCCTTCCCTTTCCTGGAAGACCAATTCAGCATAATCATTGGAAAGTACCTGCCTCTGTGAAGTCAGCATGGAAAGTTTATATATGGAGAAATCTATCCACCAATTCTTTACATCTAAAATTTAATGGAAATACCACACATTTTACACAGGCACGTGTTCCCTCTCTTACCTGTTGATTGTAGGATCTAGTCATTGAAACTCTCTTAACTACACCATTACCTACCAGAATTGTTCTTTTTTTTCAGAATTGTTCTCTATATACATGTCTCACTTCATCTATTAGCTAGAACTTTTCTACATATAACATCTACATTCTGAAGGCAAGAAGCAGAATCTGGTTCCCATACAATTATAACGTCCATTGAAAAATTCTCTTTCTGTGATGCTGTTCCAAAATTTGATGGAGACAGTAAAGAAGAAAAGAAAGAAATGATTGAACTGTTGCTATCCATAATTTTAGGAATACTATGTGTCACAGCTAAAGCTGCTTCAGATGGAGTAGCACTGAGCACAGGTGTGCAAACTGTTCACTTTGTGCAACAGTTGCACAAGGGCTCAGAACAATTATGGACTTCACAGGGACAAATAGATTCAGAGTTAAATAATAAAATAAATAAATAATTCAGAAACAGCTGTTAGTATGCTTGGAGATAAAATTGTTAGTCTGCCCCCATCAACTTCATTTAAATGCGATTTGCATATCTCTTCATTCTGCATAACTCCAGTTCACTAGAACCAATCTCATTTCCCATAGGAAAATGTAAAGAAAAAAATTAAAGTATTATAGTAATATTACTTCTGATATCCAATCTCTTCAGCAACATATTGAAAATAATTTTGTAAACAAGTATCAGAATCATCTGGTATCATGTCCGGCGAGAAAATTCAGTGGACTAAGCTCTTGCTTAGGCAAGCACAAGGGCAAGGGTTCGATCCTTGGCAATACATGTCATGCCAGCCTTGTTCCTGGGCGTGCTGAGCTGTGATAGACTCAGGGCATGGGTGTGCACAGAAATCCTAGCACCAGGGAGGCTGAAAACAGGAGGATCACTACACACACACATATACACACACAGAGAATTATATGGTATCAATCTGTTACAGGGCATCTCTGATGGTATTGAGAACCCTAATCTTTTTAATGCTGCTGATGTTTTGGTGGGAATGTAGGAATAATATGTTTATGTTATCTCTTTACTATTTATATATCTTGCCTAGCCTGATGAAGTGGAGGAGTCTGGCAACAAGCCATGAATCAACAATCCACCATACTAGCTCCAATGCTTCATAAAATGTAGTGAGAAGAAAAACGTGGGGTATGAAGATATGAACCAAAATCTTTCTGTCCTGAAAGAGCAAGGAATGAAGACAGGGCCTAAGAAAGGATGCTATCACTAGTAACACAGAGGAAGTGGCATGCAAGGCCTTTTGGAAAGCTGCAGATAACAGCACCCTCCTGGAGCAGCACGACATTTAAAGCAGGAGCTAGTGCCACATACATTAGGACATAATGCTTTAAAATTTCAAAGAATTTATTGATGCTATTAAATCCCAGGTAGGAAGTTGGTTTGAGGAAAGCACAGGTCAATGACTGCAGTAGGGCAGAGGATAAGGGGAAGACATTGACAGTGTTCCTTCTCAGCAGGCATGGAGCATATCAATATGAACACTCTGATACATTAGCAAATTGTGCACTTACGTTGAATAAAACTATATATAATTATTGGAATTTAAAAATATATCTGTATACATGAAATTCATCTACTGAAATCTATGTCAAGGAAAATAATTCATAAGGCATGAAAGTTTCCAAATCTACAGCTAGTTAACTTTTTATGTCTAAGGCAAGTATTAAGTAGGTTACACCTTTCATTTCTCACTTCTCTATAGATGTGATACATGACAGGAACAGAAAAAGGAAAGACAAAAATCTTGCATGGTCATGAGAACAGACCCTGAAAAAGCCTTTGGCAATTCTCCCATCGATTCACAATGACAGCTGTGAAGATAGAAGATCTGAAAGGACCTTATTCCAATCTTGTAAAGAACATTTGTGACAAACCAATGGCCAACATCATAAGAACTTTGGAAAATCTGGAACTGTTCCCTCTATGGGCACAAACAAGACAATGATGGCGTTTAATAGATGACTGTAAGTATCAGTGAGAGGATTCAGGCAAAATATGAAATAAGAAGGATATTACAGAGCAGGAAGAAGTCAAATAGTGATACTTTGCATCAAAGACCCAAAATGCCATGCAAAGACTCCTACACTTTTAACCAAACTGAGTAATGTAGCAGGATTCAAATTGTGCACAAAACATTTTAGGTCCATCCATCAATAGTGAGCAGACTGAAGAACAAATAGAGAATGCAGTACCATTCACAATAGCACTGAGGAAAAGGGAATACTCAGTAATCAGCATAGCCAAGAAAATGAAAACCTATGTGACAAAACTACTGCACAGCGGTGACGCCCTGAGCCAGGAAGACACCTCCGGACTGTATTGACCTTTTGTGTCTCACAGTGGCACTCACATAACACTGCTCACTGGATTTGGCTTTAAGAAACTGTTACCTGACCAGTGCTGTCAAATGGTCTTCCAGGATCTGTTGGTCAAAATCACCTTGGAAGGAAGTGGCGTGTGAAGCACGCTCACTCTCTGTATTCCAGAGGCATCTTGGCCTCTTCCTCACCACACTGCAGACAGGGATGAGGCAGGCGAGGGCAGGACACAGAAAACTCACTGCATCTGGGAACTTCTGCTGTCACAGCTGCCCCACCTGCCTCCACATTCCTAGTGTCCAGCTCGGAGCTCTGCAGAGCAGCCTGGCCTGAGCTGGTTTCTCCCTTTCAGACTTGCATGGTGCATGGGGAGGGAAGGATGAAGCCGTGTTCCACAGTCTGGAACTGGAGCCCGCCCCTCCTTCCATGTGAACCCTCGATCCTGGCTGGGATGCTCAGGGTGCACACTTTACCCAAATGCACCTTGAGGCTGTCATGTGGGTCACACTAAGGAGACTTTTATCTGTCTTAAGAGCACTTATTTTTCAGGATTCTGGGAAAACTGATCGTATTTTCTCCTTAAGTATTTGGACAGCTAATGGAAGAGAGGAATCGTTTGTTTCTCTGCAGGAAGATGAATTAGTGATGGTTGAAATGTTATGGGAATCATGAAACTATGTTTCAAAATCAGACAAGTAATAGGGCCCAATATAATGGCCTGAGGAGATGGTTCAGGGGAATAAGGACTTCCCTGACAAGTGCAAAGGCCTGAGTTCAATCCCCAGTTCCAAAAAAAAGGAAGAAGAAAGAAAGAAAGAAAGAAAGAAAGAAAGAAAGAAAGAAAGAAAGAAAGAAAGACCTTCTATAAATTGCTATGTCCCAAATCAGCCATTAGATGGCGAGTGAACCCCATAATAAATGATGACCAGATGCTTTCTGCTAAGAAGACTGAGAACACACAGGAGCCCCTTCTAGGCAGGGAACCACTAAGAACTTGGGGCTCTCACTGCAGTCTCAGGGATTACATTTCTGCTGACACTGCTGACCAGGGCCACATGTTCCCTATGTGCCATTTTCTCAAGTGTTGCTATTTCTTCAGCAGGCTCAGCCTGTGAGCTAGAAGCTTCCATGGGGAGTCAATAGCAGAGTCAGCGTGGGCACACGCCAGCTGTAAGTAAGAGGCTGCAGCTCTGCAGATGCCGCGCCGTGAGCTGTCAGGGGAGGCGGCCTTGTGGATGCAGGGGAGGTGGAAGCAGCACCCACCGAGGGCTCTGCATTTCATAGCGCACCAGCACCGGACACACGGCAAAGGCCAAGAGCCCCCCCTAGAATAAAGGAGAGGAAGGATTGTGAGCCCCATGTGAGCAGCAGACAGGAAGACTAATGAAGAAGGAAGAGCAAGGACAGCTGTCATGGGTGAGTTCGGCTCCTCTAAAACCAGATGATAATGAAATATGTTGACATTCTCCAGGAATACTTACCTATCTATTTGATGCTAAGAAGGGATGGAGCCCTAGTGAGGGCACCAGGTGTTGAAGTAAAAGTGAAATATTCTATATGACGACAGCTGAAAAACATTAAAACACTCAAAGTCTGAAACTCTTCCACTCTTCTCAAAATCTTATGCAAATTTTGAATTTTCTAACACTGATGACTATTTATTCACTGATACAGTGTCCCACAACTAATTACTGTAAATCATTCAGAAAAGATATTTAATAGGAAGAAAATTGGAACTTCTTTGATCTCACCAAGAACACAGGCAGCATCTTGCATCGGTGTGTATTTGCAGAGACTAAGGCAGGAAGTGGATAGGGACACCTTTGCTTCTGTCCTACGAAGACATTTTAGGCTCATCTGATCAATGATCACAGGCAGCGGAGCCAATTCAAAGGGGTCAAAACTGTCATTACTTCCATTTTTATGTCACATATTTCCCATGATGTATTGAACCTTCACATCTCCTTTGTTGTTCCACCTCCAAGAGTCACTGCCATAGAACTCTGAGTAAGAAGGAGCACAGATACAATTGCGAGACCAGGAGGGCAGCAGGGCCTCGCTCACTGCACTGCTGTGTTCAGGGATTGTGCCTGGTGGCTCCCGTGAGGTACACAATCTCTGCAGCAAACCTGATCTTGCTGCTTTGCCTGAGTTGTGAGTCCCTCAGCCCTATCCTGAATAACCCAGGAGAGGCAGCCCTGCAGCTCAGCCCCTGCTCATTTGCATGTCAAGGCTCAGAGACCTCAGCCCTGAAGGTTTATTTGTTTGCTCTCACCCTGTGCAGGAGTCAGTCTTTGTCAGGACACAGCATGGACATGAGGCTCCCTGCTCAGCTCCTGGGGTTCCTGCTCCTTTGGCTCCCAGGTAAGGAGGGCTCACCAGAGAGAGACCCACCCCAGTGTGGTCAGAGCTGCAGCTTCTTCAAGGAAGGTGCTTACCACATGGTTGATTGTGTGAATTTTGCATTTTCTCTTTCCTATGTCAGGAGTGAGATGTGACATCCAGATGACGCAGACTCCATCCTCCCTGTCGGCATCTCCTGGAGACTCAGTCACCATCAGGTGCCGGGCCAGTCGGAATATTGGCACTGAGTTAGACTGGTATCAGCAGAAACCAGGGCGAGCGCCGACACTCCTGATCTACCAGGTATCCAACTTGCATTCCGGGGTCCCCTCGAGGTTCAGCGGCAGTGGGTCTGGGACAGACTTCAGTCTCACCATCAACAGCCTGCAGCCTGAAGATTTTGCCACATATTACTGTCAGCAAGATTATGGTACCCCTCCCACAGTGACACGAGCCATGACAAAAACCATCGAAGGAAGCAGAAGTGTGAGGCTGTGCTGCCCATCTGATGCTCTGATACCTCCAGCTGCTGAGAAGCTTTCCTACATGCAGCCAGACTTAGAAAGTCATTGTGAGACGTTTTTAAGAAGGAAAGAGAGTCCATTTTGAAAAATAATTTATTTTTTTTCTTCTCAATTTGTCAGCAAAGGTATCACAGCTGTCTCCTGTAAGAAAGTGGAGCGATGTCTGAGGATTGAAGTTTTTACTTTATTTGTAACTCACAGAGTGAGCAGCAAAAAGAAAATGCAAGTTCCCCAGGCAGGGACAAATTCAAAACAAGAGTTAGAGTGTACAGGACAGGTTTTACTGTACCAAAGAAGCCAGAGAAGCTGGCAGGAGAGAGGGCTGATCTCTGCTAATCCCACAGGGTGCTGGAGCACCAAGGAATGCTGCTCTTCAGCTCAGGAGCCTCAGTCCTATGGACAAAGCCAGCAGCCCAATCCTGCTGCTGCTTGCAAGAACCTCCTCCCATCAGAGTCTTCAGTCCACCTATTCTCCTGCATCCGCCTACTGGATTTCAAAAGCACTAAACCTTCCTCAGTCTTGCAAAACCTTTCAGTTTATCTCCACATACTGAGCTCTATACTAAAGCATAGGAGGAAACGGGTTCAGAGAAATGCACCTCTAGGTGCGATGTTGATGATGGTGAAGTGACAGTGGACAGCCCAGGGGTGTCTGTCTCCTCAGTTCAGACAATTTGCACTTGTGCCCTGGCAGCAAAACTGGTCTGGTGTCTTTGCAAGTGTAATCCGTGATCCCTGGAGTGTATCAAGCAACATGCTTAAGTCATAGATAACACTGGATATAACAGGTAACTAAGAGAATTGTAAAACATTGTTACACCAAGTTTCTTAACGCATGGTTGAGAAAATAAAAGTGATAAGACAAAAGCCGAAGGACAAAAAAGAAACTTTGTCAGTATTTAGCTTTCTTTTTTATTATTAATTTTATTGAGAAACAAATAGCAAAGAGACAGTTTCAAAACCAATTAGAACAGTTTCTATAATTATACATTGCATATTGCTGTCTCCTTAGTGGCTATTCATAGTACAAGAGGCAGATATGATATCCTGTCCAAACACTGTAAGTGCAAATCTTTCTTCTCATTGAATTAAGAGAAAGTAGCTGTATATCCTATTTTGTATATACAGATAAAAAATGGTCCTTGATTTGTATCCCCTTTTTTCATTTAGTTTTTTCAGAGATGGGTATTCCACTGCCATTGAAGTATTGTAGGCTTGTGAATTCAGCAAAATATTTCAAAAATAGTCCAGTATTCCATAATATTAGTGGGTGATTCATAGGAATGATATTGTCAGAAGTTGTTGAGATGAGCCTTTTACAGCTCAGCATCTTAACATGATTTTACTTTTAGTATCTCATTTCTATACATTTCTGCTGGATGGCTAAGACCAAGATAAAGCAAGACCTATATAAAGAGAAATGTAACTTTTGTATCTGACAAGGTCAATGAAATCCCCTCAGGATTTACCCTGAAACCCTGTACCGCAGTTTGTAGATCCAGAATCTCTACAGCTGGGAGTCATAGTGATCCTCCTCTGTTCAGTATCTCAGTGCAGGGATTACAAGCATACAGCACTCTGCCTGGACGCTAGGCCCACACATTTTGGCCCAGTGGCGGGGCTGGTACAACGTGTGGTGCTGGAGATCAAACTCAGTTCCTACACTTGCCTAAGCTTGGCTAAGCTTGGCTAAGCAGTTATTTTAGTCCAGTGAGCTATCTCACTGGCCCAGCTTTTACCATTTCTTTCCCAAGCACATAACTGCTATGACATAGACAATGTGTCCCAATGCCATCATCATTTTCCTGTCCCTGAGAGCAGGTGATGGATACAGAGTCATAGCTCTCCTGCTGCCAGCCACTTAGTGATGATGGAGATTTAACATGAGTAAGGGACACCTTCTGACACCCAGCTGAACTGAGTCAGAGTGGTGCTCAGTGTGGAAGCCGCACCTGAGGATTGTTGCCGGCAGCATCAAAGAAGATCTCTGGGACACGATACTGAGCTGTTCATCAGATTGAGACCTGAGAACCACAAGGTCTAGTTCATTCATTATTTCTAACTTAGTCTGACACTGAAGCATTTTATATAGGGGAAATCTTTACAGCTGATTGAAATTGTGTTCATTATTATGCTTTTCATGGATTCAAAAATAGAAAGATATGAGAAGCAGGGTCAGGCCACTACTTCCATGAATGCCCTGCATTTTCTGTGATTAGAGGACCCTCTTGTAATCAGACAGAAAGCCAGGGAGTCATGTTGTTGGTATGGTATGGTATGGTATGGTTATGGTATGATGCTACTTTTCTGAGATCTAGGAAAGGAAAATGATTCCCTCCAGCCATGTATGGACTTCCTCTCATTCATTTCATAAACTGCAGGAGGGCTTCTCATGACCAGAAACTTCATTACCTCTTAGAAGCAGAATATCACAAGCCTGAGGATTTCAAAGCATACCCCAAAGAAACTCATCCTGGAAGGAAAGAGAATGGAAATTATATG